GTATGTCTGTGTGAGGATACCAGGTGCCCTAGAACTAAAGTTACAGACAGTTGTAAGTCACCATGTGGGTGCTGGGAATTTAACCCGGATCCTCTGGAAGAGCCTTCAGTGCTCTCTAATCCCCTGAGTTTGCATCCCTACCCATTACCTTGTTATTACTTTGCCACATCACGACCTTGCCACCCCTGTCAAGTCTCCCATTTCTCTACTCTTCTGTCATTGGTCCCACTCTGCTTCTTGTTTACACTGTCATCACCATCAGAGCATCTGCCTGTCAATACCAGTACTCTAAGAAGACCAGACTGAGTACAGAGCAGACTTTAATGAATACTTTTTGAAAGATTTAATGGATGGTCTCAAGTTCTGTGGACTGTGTTTTAAATGGCTAATGGTAACCAAAGAATTATTCCAGAAAAAAAAAAAAACAGAATTAAAATCTAAAGCTTGGTTCTATGTTATAATTATCCACTTTGAGGAATGGAAAGAAATTTGGAAAAGTTGAGAAGGCTGGGTCACATGGTCCCTACAATGCAGGGAGTTGGCCACTGGTATAGAGTATGAACAAAACTGCTCTTAGTACATCTCAACCATGAGGATGGAGACAAGCTAATAGCCCCTAAATTACATGTGTGTTCATGAAGTGGGTCAAGACCGACACAACCAGACTATCCAACTAAAAGTTTTTGAGCACCCCTGACCAACATAGTACTTCGGCCTCCCCTTCTATATCCACCTCAATCCCACTTTCAACTCACTGAGATCTTGGGCTTTCTACACCTTTGAACAGGAGCTAGCAGAGATCAGAGAAGAAACTGAAACTACACAGAGCACTAAAAAAACAAAAACAAAAACAAACAAAGGAAATCTGCCCTCCCACCTCCCACCTCTGCCTCCTGTTCTTTTTCTGACCAACCCAGACTGGATGAAGCTCACATATAATAATGGAAAGTCTGACTGCGGTACTGTCAGGAGCAGATGGACAATCTAACTGCTGTGTTTGTTTGTTTTGTACTTCCTTGAAGGCAGCAATCATGGAAGTTTTGATAAAGCCCAAGTTATAATCCTTTTCTACTTAGTGACTAGCGTGGCCATGTTCTTTCAGACACCACTTCACAGTGTCCTCGTTGTGATGTAAATGAGGTTCTACAGACCATGTTCAGTTCAAGGTGGGGAACAGACTTCCCACCTGCAGATTCCTCAGGACGAGGTCCTTTCATGTCCTGTTATTTCTGTTTTATCATTGCAGACGCAGGGGAAAATGTTTTTTGTCTTTGCTGCTAAGGTAATGGTCTTGAAATAAAGCATTTCCTTCAAGGCCATTTCCTCTGAGCACATCTGTTAAGTGTTGTTGTCATGCAAATAGTCATAGGCTCATGGCTTCCCTTCCAGAAAACTTCCAGTCTTGGGCAGATCAGAACTCGTATTGCTCTTGTTTTTGCAGCTGAAATTAATTCTCATACAGATAATGAAAAAGAATAGAGGGAAGTCTCTGTAGCAGGGCATCAGGCCTTCATGTGCCAGGGGAATGTTTCCTTGAAGTGTGCTGAGAGCTTGGGGTCAATGCTACACTTAGAGCCTTGGAGCTGATGCTCTCTATTCTGTAGACCATTCAAAAGCAACAAGCCTGTGCTTTGAAGTGCACCAGAGTCTTGCCATGTCATTGTACCACTAACTGTTTCTTTTTCTTGGTTGAGTTGAAATATGTTGAACAATACTGAACTTTCCAGCTCCCTCTCTCAGCCTTGTCAATTGCCAGCACCTCTTCTCACCTACCTTGTACCTGGGCCTGCAAGTCTGCAGCTATGCCTAATGTTCACATGGGCTTTGTTTTATAAGAAGCTATTGAAAAGGTGACTGAGAGTGTAAACAGTGCATGAGAGAATTGTGTAAAATGATACTCATTTTGCTCCTTCATCCCCCAACAAGGCTGCTCCTGAAGCAGAAGATAGAAACAGAAAAATGAACCATTGCTCCAATTTCCACAGGAAATACTCAGAGGGAGTACCAGAGCCTTTCAAAGACTCAAAGGATAACCCCTTAAGAGTTAAGTCTGCCTCTGATATCAGGAGACAACCTGTCAGTCATTTACCCATTCATTCTACTATCAAACATTTACTGGACAAGCCTTGGGCATGATGAGGAATACAAAATAAAGATTAAATGACCTTTTCCCACAAGGACTGTACTGCCTACTTGGGTGATAAGAGATAATAGAGCACAGAGTGGCCAAGGCATCCAATCTCAGTGACTTCATCCTAGAGGTACAACATGATGCTTTATGGGCACTCAACAAGGGAGAGGCTCTCACAAAGTAGACTCCTACTCACTGTGTAGATCACATCAAAATACAGCAACATAAATGATTTATAAAGCATCCAAACACCAGCATCCTCAGACTTTTCTATGCATTGTCCTATTTGGTTTTCAGAGGACTACAAGGTCCAGTTCTGGAAGGAATAATTCTACACTACCAAACTCCCAACAGGTTCTCACTACCAAACTATGAAGACAATCCAGCTGAAGTTGGAGAGGAGCACTGCAATTTGGTTACCTTTCTCTAAATATTGTGGGGGCTGGAGCATGTAGGGTGCAACTACTCTTCACAGGGAAGCATGATCTGAGGTGGCATGTGGAAGTGGCAGCACTCTTCTCACAAGCCATGGGGTCAGCAGAGAGTCAAAGGGGAATTTGTGGAACTTGGATTGCCTTCAGAATTGGGCCTCAATGAGACAGGTCAGCTTTTCTGCCTACATTCATTTTACTTAAGGGAACCTACTGCTGTGCCAACTATTTTCCTTCTAGGGATCTGAGTATATAAAACATAACGGTGGATAAAATCACACCACAGACAGGGAGTAAAAGGCTCTGCTTTGGAAGAAGGTGGTTGCTAAATGATGACAAAACAGGAAATCACAAAGAGTGCCAGTGTGCTCTGCTTTCTGTCTCTTTGAAGACTTAGGGTTTGCCAATGACTCTTAGAGCTTATACTGTTTTCCTTATACTCATGTTGATGTGGAATTGACATAGTTAGACCTACCTGGAAGACATACAATGTTACTTTTCCATCACACTCTGACAGTAGCAGTCCATGTCAAATGTCGAAAGGCCAAAGTGACAATACTCTTAAGGTAAAAAAAAAAAAAAAAAAAAAAAAAAAAAAAAAAAAAGGTTTAAAAAAAAAAATCTATCAGTCTCAATTTATATATTGGATTTCATTATTGATCTCATAGAGCTGAGTTGTGAACTCTGAACTTCTTGCCACACTTGAGAATGTGGTTGAACAAACATCCTGCCCATCTGCCAATTCCTTTCTCATCTTAGTATACAGTAGTTACACAGAATAGTAATAAAGAATAAGTTGTTAAATGGATGAATGGATAAAAGTTTATGTTTAAATATACATGTGCACAAATGCACACATAAACAATAAATGAATGAAAAGGACAGGTGTATGAGTTAATTTCCAGCAATGAAGAAGAAAATGCCACTTAGATGCCCCAGTGTTACAGTTCAACAAGGTCTCCCTCAGTAGTCAGCACAAGGAGCTCATTATCCCCTTTTCGTGTTTTCTAGAAACTTAGCTTTATTTGGAAAATATTGTTAATCTGCCAAACCTTCAGACTATGTACCATTGGCCACTGCCTCCTGTTTCACATGAGAGGGGATAGATTGGTGGTCTAGGTGCCTAAGAAACTGAAGGATACAGAAGTGGCTGAAGACCTGATTTGGAGGGGCTTGTACTGTGGCTTGGATATGTTCTCTAGAGCTCATATACTGTAAACTTAACCCTTGAATTCATGTGTGGAAGTATGTCCTTTGAAAGGTAACAGCAAAAAGATAAGGATCCCCATAATGGAATAGTTCCTCTGTAAGTAGGGAAACAAAGAGCCAAAGTGGCACATTGCTCTATCTTGCCCTTCACCATGGGATGATGCAGTAAGCTGGTCCTTACCAGATGCCAACACCAAGCTCTGGGACTTCCCCACCCTCAGAACCATGAACTAAACAAACACCTACTCTTCCTCTGCTGAGAGGTTCTAACAGCAGAAAGCAGCATGGGGAAACTTAGGAAAGATCATATTCTACATAAGGTGAGGAGGTCTGCAGCCAGGAATAAAACATAGTCACCATTCCATCAGAAAGTGCCAACCCTTCAGGCAGTGTGTGATTAGGGGGAAGGGTGGGAAGAGGTGCTGGAGGTGGAACAAAGGGAGGAAGAGGCCATTGTTCTTCACTCAGGGAGATGCCTTAAAGATGAAAGGGGTTGGTTCCAAGACTAACAACGCAACACAGGCAGCTGAAAGTGAAACTTTCCTCCAACTAAGGACCAGAGTGGATCCAGGACTAACCATGCTGGAGCAATCAGGACTGATAGGGCAGGAAAGGGGCTCTTGGACGGAGTTTGAACTCAGTTGGACTGTGGGTTTTCTGTGGGGATTTTTTTTCCATGTCCCTGGCCCATCTGTAGGTTCTAGGGATGAAGTTCAGAGACCCACTCAGAAGGCGGTAGAAAGGTTCCTGGATACACAGAGAGAATATACTATGTCTAGTGTATCTAATATACTGTGTATATCTAGTGCATTACCTAAGTCTAGGATATACTATGATCCTAGACTTCCTATTAGATTCCCCTGGACTGCCACTATATCTATCTATATTTTATGTGCTGTAGGGGGACAATGAAATGTTTATTTGAAGTTCAATAATTCATCATAATTCTTGTTTAAATTCAAGTAAAATGACTTATAGCATCCTCAATTTTAAAATTCATAACTATCCTTTCCTCTAACTATACATTTATGGAGAGTCATCAGAAACAGGGTCTCACAAACTTCCTTCCACTGAAAGTTGTTGACTCATGAGAGACGTACCACTATACAACATCTATCAAATAGAATAACTTGGAGGGAGTGGGTCAGTGAGAGAGCGCACAACTGTGTCAGGAGGGTCTGAGGAAGGGGTCTGCATCTATCAGTGCCCTGATGCTCTCCTCTCTTCAGGTACCAGACTTGCTCCAACAATGGACTGGTGGCAGGGTTCCAGAGCCGCTACTTCGAGTCAGTGCTGGACCGGGAGTGGCAATTTTACTGCTGTCGCTACAGCAAGAGATGTCCGTATTCCTGCTGGTGAGTCTGAGAGCTAAACCTCATTCCTCATAGCTTCTGGTGGTGGTGGGAGCTTACGACGATGATCTATCTGGTCCTTCAAATAAGTCCATGATGGCACACACCAGGTTGATAAGCAGTAGCTAGACTACATAAGAGAATGGATGGCTGAAGAAGACTGTCATAAGGGAAAGGGCCCTACAGGTTATCCAATCCAATGTTCTCATACCCCCCTTTTGCCATAAGAAAGAAACAGAACCATGCAGGAAGTCAGTGACTGGCCAACATCACCCAGCAGCTGAAGGCTACTGATTCCTGTCCATGCCTTTTCCTCTGTCCTACTGACTTCACCTCACATCCAAGTCTGCTTGGGACCCATATCCCTGCAGCACCTCTAGGAGTAACCAAGTGCCTCATGAGCCACAGTCTGATAGAATGACAGAAAGCAAAACAGCAATAGCAGCAACAACAAAGTGATGCCAGTGTTTCCTGAGTCACCTGGCAGCTACAGCCCATGATGTCCTATTTCCATGTCTCTCCTTGGGCTGAAGCCAAGTGCTTCCTGACTTTGCTTCCAATCATCTATGAGAGCACATACACATTTGTTTATCCCGGTAACTCACACCCGGTGTTAACAACACAACGTAGCCCAAATGCTTTGGTCTGCAAACAATCCAGGCATTTAAACCTTCACCATTTGAAGTTTGCCTCACTCAAGTGATTTGTCTCTCTATAGTCTGATGCTGGGGAGGACAGCCTTGAGGTTCTGTTTGTTCTCTGCCATCACAGTGCTACTCCGCAGATGCCCCAGAGGTGCACGATGTCTCTAGAGACCCAAAACTCCAAAAGCTGAGCACTTTTCTTCTTGCAGTAATAGCAGTAAACTCACAGCTCAAAGTCTGCCAATGTCTGAAACTGCATGATAGGGCAAAAACCTCTAGCTCCACCAAACTGCTAAGGGAAAACACTTCTTAACCCACCATGGAAGGTGAGTGGGCATGCCAAGGGCTGCTGATTCAGCCGAGGCAGATCCTGAGTTGAAGACTAAAGATCTCCCTGCTATATTTGGCCCAAGGAATTCTGGTAAAGGCAAGGGAACTCTTCAGTTGTAGCGTCCATGCCACCTTTCCCTGCAGCCTCTTTCCTCAACTCCCCCTGTAACTGCCCTGTCTTTGGAAAATCACTTTTACTTCTCTGGAAACCTCAATGCACCACTGAAAAATGATGGCAATGTTTATTTACTGTGTATCCATTAAAAAAAAATCTGATGAAACTAGAGTTTGCGATGATCTGGAAGGAAAACATACTTACCCTGTTTATGTGAAAGTGTATGAAGCATGCCAGGGACCTTCAAACTCCCCAAAGACATCTGTGGTCATGTTTCTCAGAACCCCTGAAATGCAGGTTGAAATTCAAAGCACTGAAAGGTCTTTGAGGTTGTGATGAATCCTCACACTATGATTGATGCAGAGGTGTAACCAAAGGGTAGGTAATTCAGATACCAGTTTGCAAGGAGGATTTGGGTTCTAAAGCAGAGAGGGAGAATAGGGATGAACCAATCCCCTCTTCCTATCTGCTAAGAGAATGGCTCTTTGACATTCAGTGAGCATCCTTTGCAGCAAGGCATTCAAAGCCAGTTGAAAAGGTGAATAATGTATCTAAATGAGCAAGCCAAAACAGTCATCAGCCTAGTGACGCATTTACTTCATTAACAAGATTTTTATTTTCTCAGTCTCCAAAGGAATACTTCACACTTCAGAGAGTGACCCAGCAGAGTGTCTGCAGTGTGTAGTTGAGAGGGTAGGCATCCTCAGAAAAATCATTGATCTTTATATCCAGTGTCTGTCTAGCACAGTGCTTGGATCCTAGTCAACCCCCGGTGGTGTGTGTGTGTGTGTGTGTGTGTGTGTGTGTGTGTGTGTGTGTGTGTGTGTGTGTGT